GTCCAGGGTCTTGCTGCTCTCCCCTGCGCCACACAGGGAAAGGGCACAATGGGGCTCGGTTTCCCTTGCCCCCCTTCAGACTCCCTCCTCCTCCTGATCTGGGAACCTTTATTTTGTCTTATGAGACAGGAAGCCTTGCAGACCCAGCATCTGTATCCCTGTCCCCACGCCCACCCCCAATCTGCGGTATTGTCTATGCACAACCATCCTTACTGTTTCCTTAGGTTTCCTAGGCTTTCAAAATTCAAAAGCCGGGACTGTTTGATTCTCTTTCTCGCTGTGTCATCCCTTCCTGGAGACATATGATAGACAATATAGCGGCCTGAATTTTGAGGGTGGAGATGCTCTTTCTACATGCCAGGTGCTGTGCTAAGCTCTTTATCTGATTTCAACCTCAAATTGGAAATGAGGCTGAGAGAGGAGGTGTTCGTCCAAAGCCAACAGCTAGTGTGGGGCAGAGCTGGGGCTTGGACTCAGGGCCTATCTTCTTAGCCACTCCGTTCCCATAAAGGTAGGGCTTCATTTCATCGCCACCTTTTCTGCTTCCTGCACTCCCAGGTCCCTGCCGGTCTGCCAGGGCAGGCGCCAGTCAGAATCCTTACCTGGGTGAAAGTGAAAGGCCATTGGTCGAACTGTTCCTAAGGCCCACCTTTTCCCCAGCTGATTGGCAGAGTGGCTGTGACTGACAGGTTGTTGATTATTGACACAGTGGAATCTTTTGACCCTCTTCACCCCACTTTAATCGCAGCATGAGAGTCCAGACAGCCAGCGCATGTGGACTCCCTGGAGAGAAGAGCAGGGATAAAAATGGGACGATGAAACAAGAGATTGAGTCAGAATTGGCAAATCCAGTTAAAGAAAGGGTAAATGCTGGCTCCTGTCAATTTGCAAATCAGCAGCCAGCCTTTTAAGCTAGACAAAGCCATTTCTCCGAACATCCAATTATTATGCAGANTTCTTTCTTTCTTTCTTTCTTTCTTTCTTTCTCTCTCTCTCTCTCTCTCTCTCTCTCTCTCTCTCTCTCTCTCTCTTTCTTTCTTTCTTTCTTAATAAAATGGGGGTGATGGAGGTGTGGTGTGGGATTAGCTAGTACAAGCACTCACTCAACCAGACCATTCTCGTCCCTAAATTATTACCTTGTTTTAAGTTAGGAGCTCAAGGGGCTGTCTTGCCTCTTTAAACCTATAATTTATAGAGTAATTTTCTGCCAGGTGGAGGAGGTGGGTCCAACTTCCACTAATGCCACACTCAGCCATGAGGAGGAAGTCCTTCCACCTGGGAACACCTGGCTTCAGGAGTTTTTGACTGTAAAGAGCTGGGTGTGACGGCCAGCCTCAGGCCAGGGAGTGCGAGCCCAGACTCTGCAGAGAGCCACCTGCTCAGGCTAAGATCCCGGCTCCCACTCAGTAGTTCAGGATCCTGGGAATCTATGTAACCGCTCTGTGCCTCAGTTTTCCCACCTGTCAGATGAGAAAAACAATGACCACCTGAAGGAGTTGCTGGGGGATTAAATGGGCAAAAACATGTACAGCTGTGAATCTCACCATGAGTTTGCCTCCCCAGGGGACATTTGGCAATGTCTGGAGAGATTTGCAGCTGTCATGACTCGGGGGTGGGGGAGGGGTGATAATGGCGTCTAAGGAGTAGAGGTCAAGGATGCTGTTGAACGTCCTACAATGCACAGGACAACCCCCCACCCCGACCCAAACTTGTCCAGAATGTCGACAGCGCTGAGGTTGAGAAACCCTGCTGTAAGGGGCGGGGCAGTGTCCAGTCTATATTAGCTGTTATTAGACCTGACCTCTGGGTCAGGTGTCCCTGAATTCTCAGTTCTGTTTCTGGCCCTTCCGACAGCTGCTGGGTACATGGACTTAAGTTTCTTTCCCTCTCTGAATATCAGGGGGCTTTTCTCCCTGAGGTCCGGCTGCCCTACCCCACCTGCTAGGGAGAGGAAGCGTCTATTAGGAAAGGGTCACATTAAAGGATCCCACGCTGTCCTCTAAGAGCCTCAGGGCACTCTGCTCTCTCGCCAGTGCAAGCGTGGTCCCCTCAGTCTGTGTGGCCCAATGCTGACCCCACTCCTGGTGGGCCAGCGACCCTAAACAAGCCAATGAGGTTTCACCCTGAGACTTGGCTGGGGCTACAGGGAGAGGCCCTGTCCTGGGCAGGGGTTATTGAACTGGGAGATGGTGTGTGTCTGGTGGTCATTCTGCCAACAGCTGGGGACAACCTGTCTGGGAGTGAAGCTGATACCGAGGAAATCTGAACCGAGAGATAAAGGAAAATGAAGATACTGAAAATATCATTTGACACTGAATCCAGCCTTGTCCAAAACCAGTTGTAGTCCTGGACTGCTCTTTACATAAGCCAATAAATCCTTTCTATTTTTAAACCAGTTTTGAGTTGGGTTTCTGTCACTGGCTAATACAGATATATCCCACCTATTCTGTTCTAGGATCTTTCTTGGTTTTTATTTCCAGATGGAAAAGATTCCCTAGCAGGACAGAGCACACCTGAACTCCATTTTGAGAGATGCTACCTGGTAAGGTAAGTCCTAGGCTTGAAGGTGAGGGTGAGGGTGGGATCACCAACATTGCAGGGGGTGGGTGGTAGGGGGGAGCGTCGCGCCTCCTATTTGGAGGCAGATGATGGCGTTTGAGTCTCTGCCTGGTGGTTTCTTAGCTTTGTAGAGCTGGGCAGGCCCCTCAGCCTTTCCAGCTCAGTTTCTCCATCTACGAAATGGATCGATCATCTCCCTTCTCAAAGAAGCTGCTGGGAAAATGAAACGAGACCACTCATAGAAAAAGGCCACCTTGTCAATAAAGCGCTGTGCAGTAGGATTTATTGTTACAGTGTTAAAATTCACTCTTGGGAAGACATTCGGGGCCATGACCAGCGGCTAAAGGTCAGGGACATCATCTTCTCTCAAGGACAAGTCGTTTCCTTTGCAGCCACAACCCCCACCGGTGTTGGAGGGCTCAGGAAATTCCTCTCACCAGCCAACCATGGGCAATAACGTTAGATTCAGAACTTATCTCCCACGGGGTGTGTTTTCCTCGCCACTCAACTGCCAGGAGCCTGTGGGAGCCTCGAAGGGCAGCGCAGAAGCTATGGTGTCTAGAACGTGCAGGTTTTGATGGGCAGGGGAGAGCTGGACTTGGAGCAGCTGGGGTTCTGGGTGTCCCTGCAGTGAACCCTGAAGTCACATCTTGCCAAAAATCATCCCATGCTGCCAGAGCCTCAAGATTTGGAGTCACTGTTCTGAGTCCCCTCCATGCTCGCTGTGCTGTATCTTCAACTTCATTTGGTCTCATTCTCATGTGACTTCTCTCGGCCTTCTGTGGCCTGGGGTCCTGTGACTGCAATGCTAACAGATGGACTTCTGGGAGAAAAGCTCTGCTCAGCAAAGGACAAAGGGGTCTTTCACAGGCGTCTGGGGTCAGAAGGCTGAGTCTGCCAAGCTTCTGATATCTTTGGCCCCCAGCTTTTGGGAGGACCATGGAATGCCTCTGCCTACCTTGGTTCTCCCTGACCTCTGGTACCAACTACCCCTTTTCAAGGGGCCAGCACTCTTGGGCACAGCCAACAACCCCTTTCAGAGAAGCACATTGTATTGTGCCCAGGTCCAGGTGCCACATCACCCTTTAAGGTCCAAGACCATGATTCAGGCTGTTTGGACAAGATGTGGCAGGTCAGTGTTTTGTTGGTCAGGTGGCCGCTCTGCCAGTTTGGTCAATCAGCCACCAGACTCTCTCTGCCAGGTCTTTCTGCAGCCCCTGCTCTTGTCTACCTGCAAAGCAGGGCAAAGCCTACCTGACCTGACCCCCTGTGTGGAGGTTGTTATCAGTCAACCTGTCCTCATGTTGAAAAACCAGCTCCAAATTCTCGCCTACCTGCCAGGGACACAAGCATCAGGGAGGAGAGAATGTGAGGTTAGGGCATCGTTGGAACCAACAGGTGCATCCGGGGGTGCCCACCTTGCTCTCGGCCTCTGGCCTGATGCTGCAAAGTTTTGGGTAATGCCACCCCTGCCAGTGACCCCCAACTATCTGCTTGCCCATCTTGTCCCCAGTGAGATTGGGTCACGGAACAACGCGAGCTTCGTTTCTGACAACTCAGGTGAATGCTGGTTTCAAATAATTAGATCCACATTCAGGTATCCCATGCCATTCTCACTTGCCCTGCGGGATTAACTGCCTCCTGGAGAGGCAGACCCTGGGGTCCTGGGTCACCCAGCCTGGATGCTGGCTCGGGAGTGGCCCATGGCTCCAGGCCTCCAGGGGATTTTACTCTCTCTCTGGGCTGCAGGCGCTGCAGCTTCAGAACCCATGTAGGGCTGAATGTCATAGAGATACTGGGGTTTGGAGCCTCAGCCAAGCCAAGGCGGATACCAGAGTCTCACCCCTCACCCCTAGAATCAGAGATGTGTCCCTAGGAGGCCAAGCATTCAGACGAAAGGGGGTCGTCCACACATCCACCCACTAGGCATTTGGTTCCTCGGGGTAAGAAAGGCTGTGCTTATATTGAAGTTAGAACACCATGGTCTCGGCATCGGGAAGGAATTCTCAAGTTCCTCGTGAGCGGAGGAAGCAACTTGTTGGGTTGACAAACATGTGCTTTTGAGGCTGACACCTGCTACGAGTCTCAGAAATTCAAACCTCTCCTTGACTCTCCGTGCAAATGGCTTCGATGGAAGTCGAGCCCAGCGGCTCCGAACGACTGGCTGTGATGGCCGAAGTGTCAGTAGAGCCCCAGTGCGTTTTGTTCTTCCTGCATCACCACTCAGCGTTGAGATCAATGAACTGAAGCCAGAACACCTGAATCGAGCTGGTTTTCAAAGGCTGTGCATGTGGGATCTCTCATTCTCATTTTTTTGGTCAAGCCCTATTGGGGGCTCTAGAGAATCTCAGCATTCAACAGTCCTTGTCCTCCATTTGCTCCAATCATAACAGTTGGAGAGAACCAGTTCAATGTCAGTTCTGTGCTGTAAATGAGAAAAATAGCCCCCCCCCGCCCACCCCATAACTTCCCATCTGTCTCCTGAGAGGTTACAAAGTGTGTTACAGACATTAGCAAGTGTTAATCTTCAAAACGTCCCTGGGAGGGAACCAGAAGTATTGTAGATGAAGACATTGAGGCACAGAGAGGTGAGGCCACTGGGAAGAAGCCACACAGCAGAACAGTGGCAGGGTCAAGCAAAGGGCTGGGGGTTCTCGCCACCCTCTGAACGACTCTGCTCTGTGAGGTTCATCTCAGTTAGGACATTGGTGAGCACACCTGTTTTAGGTGACAGAGACATCACAACAAAGGTTTGTTGGGTTAACAATGAGAAGCGTTTTCCTGTCCCTAATCCCAGGTCCATTGCCACATTTGGTACAGTTGTCACAGACCTAACTCAGTCATCTCTGATCCTGTCGTCATGCTAGACTTTATCCTGATGACAGAATATCTACACTTCCTGGGAGTGTCACTGCTAACCCCCTCTGGCAGGGACCATTCACCTGCCCCCACCCCATGCAGCCTTCCCTGGGAGGAAGGGGCAAAGCGCTCTGTGACACGCCCACCTCTATGTGACGCATGGCTTTTAGGGTAGAGGAAATGACCTCTCCATTTTGCATTCTCCTGAGAGAGATTCAGGGACCCAAAGCAGAACCCAAATTCTCAGTCATGGGGACAAGGGTGCTGGAGCCGAGACCGCGCTCCGGCTGACATCTCAGCAAGAGGCAGCACTTCCTGCCACCCCACGGGCAGAAAGGGTCCACTAGTCAACTGGTCAGCCTCAGGCTTTGCCTGCTCTGAGCACTGTCGCTACTGGACTTTGCGTGTCTGGTTGGAGTCCCACCTGCTCCTCCTGGGAGGGTGTTTTGGGGACTCACGGGCCTCTCTCCTCCTTGCCAGCTCAGTTCAAGTCTCCGGGGCCACTTGGACTGCTCGACGACTGACAGTCACTCTGAGGTGGAGCCTGGATTACAGAGGGGTGGGATCACAGAAGGATTACTGTGACAATTTCTCGGGGCCAGTCTCCTTCCGCTGGGCAGAAAGTCCACAGCTGGCGCCCCCTCGCCCCTTGTGCCCCCATTCTGAAATGGCAGCAGTCTACTGGGATTTTTTCCTGCAGTGGAGGAGCCTCCTCAGCCCGAGGTCACTATGTACAGTGGTGATGGCATCTGGCTACTCTTCCTCCGTATGTGTCTCCATGTTGCGTCTGGCAGAGCATCGGTTCCTTACACGTTGGTGACCTCCAGGCCATTGTAGCCTTCCAGACGGCACTGCTCTGGCCTGCCCTGGGGGTCATCGTCTCCACAGTCTTCGTTTTGAAGAGAGCCGTAGTCATCATGGAAATCGGGGTCTTTGCTGCTAAAACCCCTTCCGATCTTCCCCAGGGGCAGCTGAAAAGAGAGGAATGAGACAAAGGACAGGAAGAAGAGAAAAAGGAATTGAATGTTTTGGGGCCTGGGGAATATTGGGTCTCCAGTTCTAATTGCTGTGTGACTATGAGGAACTTATCTAACCTCTCTGTGCTGTTCCTGTTAGTAACAATACTCCACTGCTCAGGGAGACTTTTTCGAGCTCAGAGGATTTTCGTGAGCGAACATTAAGGGAGATCTTTGAGTTCCCAATTGAAAGGAACCAGTTGGTTACTAAGGGTGAGGACGAATACAGTCTTTCTGATTATCCATAGATCTCCCGCCAGTGGGTGGAGACTTGAGAACAGGTATCACAGAGGAAAGATGAGACTGTCTGAGCATGGCCACAAGGTCTGGCTGCATTTCCAAGTCAAGGAGAAATATTCTAGCACCGCCTGGTGTGGCAGAAAGAGTGTGGGTTTCGGAGACTCACAAACCGGTGTTCGAATCCCTGCCCTACCAGTTCCCAGCTGTGTGACTTTGGAAAGGTCACCTGCCCTCTCTGAGCCTCAGTTTTCCCAGCTACAACATGGAAAGAGTAATTCCTACCTCCCAGAGTTGTAGTAGAAATCCCATCTGCAAAGCCCACAGCAAGGTGCAGGCAGGCCTATCGCATGTCATACACAGTAGGCCCTCAGTTAATACAGATCCCTTATTTCAAACATGTCTCTATTACAGTAGTCATGATGGTGCTTTGTAATTATTTATTTCTTTATTCCCAGCTCAGTGTTTCTCAACCTTTTTTTTCATATTGCCCCACCCCCAAAAGGAGCCTTTTAGACATTTTCCCATAACCACACTCCCACCATGAAATTGTCGTATCACGGTGCTTCTGTTTATGTACCGTATGATGTATATCTGTGATTTACATGTAAAAACAGTAAGGTTTTTTTGCCCTCGCCCTGGATCAATCTTCCCCACTCTGGGGGTATGATCCTTAGTAAAAATGCATGCTCTAGATGGAGAGCACTGAGGGTGGCAATCTATTCGTGTTTACACTCCCATGCTGAGGATGCCGCCTGGGGCACTGTTAGTACTCCCAAATTGTTTGCCGAATGAGTGGAAGCATTTTTGGGTTATCCCTTCTGCCATTTGTGTCCACACACTTCCACTGAGGAATCTGTGTCAATCTGAGCTGGGTGATCGGCCCCAAACTGCATGCGTTTTCTTACACTAGAGGCTCGTCTGCTGCTGTTGGTCAGGTCACTGGAGTCCAAAATCTAGGTCAGAGTTTGGGGTGCATCAGAACCCTCTGGGAAGCTTGGCTGCATGAGGGTTCCCCCTCACTCCAGATGCCCCTTGCTCCAGGAGGCACAGGTGGGTCCCAGAATCTGCATGTTAAGCAACCACCCAGGTGACTCTGATGCAGGCAGGTGACACCTGCCCTTTGAGTTGCTCCTCTAAGCCTCGTGCTGGGGGGCTAGTGGCTTCAGCGTCATGCAGGCAGCTTCCAGGGCCTCTCTTCTAGCTGCACCTGTGACCTAGCCCAGCAGCCCCCCTCCACAGGCCAACACAGGAGGTAGGAAAGGGCAAAGTGGGTCTAGACGACAAAAAGAACTTTCCTGGGCTGCAGGACTCCCAGGTGAATGCGTCGAGTGACTTACCCGGCCAGCCTTGTACTTGACACCACTGCTGTCGTCCTTCCCCACCCGGGTGATGCTGGAGGCTCTCCCGGGGGGTGTCCCAAAACGCTCAGCCTCCCGGATGCCCGTGGAGCTGGGAAGAGACCCATTTCAAGTCAGCAGGGAGGGCCCAGTCAGCTACTGCCACCCAGAGACATGCACACTCACACACTCAACACTGGCCAGGTGTGACAATGACCATAACTGCGGCAGTTTACTGAGTACCTCCTAGGTGCCACCATGTGCTAAGCACTTCATAAATGCAGTCCTTTCAATGTGCCTAGAGGTTGGGGCTGCCGTTCCTGAACCACAGATGAGGAAAAGGGGGCACAGAGAGATGAAGCAATTTGCCCGGGATGACACAGCTGGAAGTGGCAAAGCCACGATCTGAGCCAGGTCTCTGAGACACCAAAGTCTTGCTCCGAATCCTCTAGTGTACTGCCAACCTTACTAGGAAAGAGAAGGTGATGGGTGAATCCTCTCATTTTAGCGAATTAAGTATGACTGGAGAAGCATCAGGAATCCCCCTCTCCCCCGCCATTTGAAAACTGTGTTCCCCACTGATTTATTGCCTGAAGTTACCCCCATCACTCCCTTCTTTGTGTAAAAGCATCGACAGCCTCGGCTAGAATAGGATTTGGCTGTGGGCAAAATCCAGCCAGCTGACTGGTTTTGTAAATAAAGTTTTATTGAACCCAGCCACAGCCATTTCTCTGTGTGTTGTTTAAGGCTGCTTTCTTGCTATTATGACAACGTAGTATACTTTTGACACAGACGACATGGCTCCCAAGTGCTAACATATTTACTATCTGGCCTTTCGTAGAAAAAGTTTGCCAGTGCCCATGTTAGAATGTCAGTGCCACAGCGTATGTATGGAGTAGAGAATTGGGGCAAAAATCCTGGTCCAGAGCCAGGAGTTCTGAACTTAGTCCTCCCCCTGCACCCCCTCCCCAATGCCCCATCCCCCATCCTCTTTCTCTCTTAGATTTTGGGCAAACCACTGTCTCCCTTGGTTTCTTGGCTTGCAGGGTTGGCCCAGCTCTGGCAGAGAGCCTTCTGCACCTCCTCTGTCAACATCATCAAACCCAAGGTACTTATGTCTTTCTAGGGGCTTTAACGGGATTGCAATCCTGGCTGTACTAGTCACTGGCTGCGTGACCTTGAGCAAGTCACTTCCTTTCTCAAAAGCTTGGTTTCTATATCTGCAAAATGGGGGTCATAATAGAGTCAACCTCACAAAGTTATTGAGAGGGTTAGTTAAAAAGTGCTCGGGAGCACAGCTGGCATCCAGTAAATGACTATAATAATAATAATTCATGTTATCATTTAAAGCATATGACGAAGGAATTGGTTCTGGCTGACAGGTGGCCAGGAGTTGGCTTTGGAGTCGGCTTGGGCCAGCATGGAGGTGACCTCATTAAGAGACATGAGCCGTCTAACATCTTGTAATCTGCCTCAGAGAAGGTCTGCTTCTTCCGGGGCAAATTTTGCTGAAAAAATTCAAGGGAGGAGAGGGGTGGCCTGCAGGAGACCCCACTGGCTGACTGGCAAATCAAGCTAAGTTCTCAGATCCATGGGTGCTGGGGGCTTCCATGACAGGAAGGTGGCGTTCTGTGGGTCTTTAAATAAGGTCCTCATTCACAACTGCCCTCTCTCCTCCACCCAGAGATGGAATTTCCTGGGTCTCGTGGGAAGCAGTCCTAATTGCATGACCATCAAAACCCTCATGGTCGTTTGCTGTGCATGAAATCCCCCTGAGTCACGGACACGAGCAGGCAAATGAACTTGGGAGGGCCCCAGGGCCCTTCCCTTATTTTCATCAAAGAAGAGATGGAAGTCCAGAGAGGGTGTGTGCCTCATCCAAGGTCACACAGGATGCAGAGTGGCAGGGATGGAACTTGAATGTGGGTCTCTAGGATCAAGAGCTAGTCCAGGGGTCGGCAAACTTTTGAGATGGAAGAGCCAATCCTGCCCCTCACAGCAATTTAAAAATTATCCGAGAGCCATAGAACAAATGAAATCACCATGATGTGAATAATATCCTTTAAAAAGTTTATAAAGGAAACTATGATAGTTTTATTTTCATTTTCAATTTTACTTCAGAGCCACATGTACGAAAAAGAGCCGCACGTGGCTCGCGAGCCGCAGTTTGCCGACCCCTGATCTAGACCACGATTTTCCCACCGTGGGGGACAGTGTAGGTCTGTGGGCTCCACGTCAGTGGCCTGGCCCAACCCCTTCGCGGTTCTGTCACCGGGGCTGTGTGCTCTATAAGGGTGGTGGGGGACGGGGCTAACAACAACATTGCTTTCATAAGGTCATTGTGGGAATTAAATGATATGATACATACAAAAGGGCAAGAGGGGACAGCCTGAATAATTTATACCATGAATAATTACTATATCTCACTGTGACCAGCAGAGGTGGTGAGGGGCGCAGACCTAGCCTGAGTCCCCCCTGCTCAGCCATCCCCGAGCTGTACCCTCGTGCCAGCTGCCTATCTTGCTGGGCCTGAGATTCCTGAGAAGGAGCAGTGAGTAGCCCCGTTTCAGGTTGAGGGAACCGAGGGCACGTTTCCTGCTAAAAATCAGACAGATGATGGTGGAAGCGCCAGAATGCAGCCTGCAAGGCCCAGCCGTGGTCCCCCATTGCCCAGGACCACGACTCCAGCCACCAAGCTGCCCTGGTGCCTGGGCTCTGAGCTCACAGTTCAGTGATTGTTTGGGGTGAGGGGGACAGAATATTGTAAAGCATCACCCTCTTGTAGGTGCCTGAACAACTCAATGTGTCCCTTCCCCCCTGCTCAGGTGACCTGCTGTGCGGCCCTAGAATATCCCCTTTGCCCATTGCTTGGATCTCTTGGACCCAGGCTTGGGAAGCCCTCCAGCCAAGGAGGTGGGACGCAAGACAACGCCTCTTATTCTGTGTGATTGAGAATCAAGTCTGTGTGAGTCCATAATGGAATTGCATTTCTCCACTGAAATGCTAATGAGAAAGCTGGAGCAAATTGACAGACAGGGAAGCCCCGTGTAACCACCTCAAGAGAAAATTGCTTCACCGAGATACTTCCGTGAAGTCCGGGGACATGACCTCTCAGTTATGGTGGGGCGTCTATGTGTCGGGCACACCACATGCCATCTGACTCACTGAGTTTTTGTGACAAAGCTGTGAGGTAGGGATGAGTCACATTTCCGTGTTACAGATGAGGAAACTGAGGTTCGGAGAGGTGAGATCACTTGCCCGTGTTCAACACAGCTGGAGCCAAGATTTGATCCCACATTCTACCCATTTCCCTGGGGAGGGCGCAAAGGGGGCACTGGTGGTGGGTTTGGAATAATAATCACTAATATTTCTGTTACTGGGTGCCTGGGTTCCTTTGCCAATTGCTTTACTCATTATTTCACCTCATCTTTTAATCAGCCCTTTGGTTGGTAGATACTGATAAATTCCCATTTGTGCAGATGAGGAAAGTAGAGCTCAGAGAGGTTAAGTAGTATATCCAAGGTCACACAGCCAGGAATTGGTGCTGCTGGGATTTGAACCTGGGTTGTCTGGCTGTGGACTGTGCCAGGAGGAATTCTGGCTGGGACATACGGTTTTGCTTTTATGTCTGCTGAGCCAGTTCTTGTCTGGATGGGGAGTCAAAGCCTTTCTTAAATGAGCAGAGCCCCTCAGAGACCCATTTAAAAAGGGGAAACAGAGGCAGCCTCAAGCTGAAACAGGCCCTGACGGTTCAGGGGGCAAGGCTGGCCCCTCAAGGAAAGGCTGTGGCTCTGAGGATTGTGGGCCAGTCCTGTTTCTGTTCCCTGTGAGGCTGGCTCACCTTCTCTCATGTTCACTCTGCTCATCAGCCCTCCTCCAGGATGGGTAGCCCGAAGAAAAAATCAATTAAGAAGCATGTCCGTCATTCCTGGGTGCCCTAGGGCCTCTTGGAGAATTGGCTGTTCCCACCAGTACTAGGCCACGTTTAGGAGAGAGAGAGATGTCTTCCCCCGCTTGCAGTTGGGCCTGGGAGTTTACACCCTGGCATGGTGGCTCAAAAGTCCCCTTGGAAGGACCCAGGGGGACCCGGCCATGGCTTTGCACCAGTTCCTCCATTGTTCTGACCACTCTTCCTGCCCTTTAAGGAAGCAGCAATGTGTGGTGGTTTGAATCTCAGCTCCACAGTTTATTAGCTTATGACTCCAGGCCAGGTGTGTACCTCAGTTTCCTCATCTGTAAAATGGGCTCATAGTACCTGCCTAGAGCGGTGGCTATGAAATGCTCGCCCTGAGCCTGGTCTGTGGCAGAGCTCAGAAAATGGTTATGGTAGGTTGATGACCCCACCTGTAGCCGCCTCTGGAGGATGGACGAGAAGGAGATGCCAGGTGACTCTTTCATTCTTGGAAACAAAATGGGGCACTTTGGGGCTAGGGGTCATGAGGCCACAGGAAGAGGAGGAGTATTAATGAGCGCAATGCGAAGTTTGTCTGATGCCTCCGAGGTCTACAAGAGAACCCTTCTCAGGCCTCGTATTCAAACAGAATCTAAATGAATGAAAGTGGAGACTGCCCTGCCGGTGGCTTTGTGTTAGGGACAAGGTGTATTGTCCTCCAGGCAAATGCTGGGGACCCTCACGCATTTCCATCGAGACTTTTCTTTTGGCTCCTCTGATGCCCCGGTGAATGCCTTTGGAACACCGCTGCTACTCCCTGCATCCTTTTTGTCCACTGGTTTATTTCTCTGGGTCCTTAATGCGCAGTCCTATGATTGACACAGAGTTGGTGCTGGGCGGGGTTTACAGGGAGAAGCAGGAAGTCTGTGCCTATCAAAGCAGATACTATGCAGCAATGTCAGGAGCCGTTCCTCCTGGGTCCCTTTGGTCATGTGCCTTGTCATGGTGATGGGAGCAGGCTGGAGAAGGTGATGTCATACTGACATCTATAAACTCGTGGTGAATGTGCCTCCCCCGGAGTCAGCTGGGGTGCTGATATCCCCTGGCTCCCTGGTCATGGGCTATAATACATGGTGACCCTCATCCCCCAAGATTCTCTGAGCTGACCACATCCTGCGCCCCTCATTAAGTGACCACAGGGCCTTACGGATCACATCTACTGGGGAGTGGAACCAGGTACTCATCAGCCCCCCTTGAAACTTCCTAGCTTGTAGAAGTTCATTGGAGCTCTTGCAGGTAGATGCCAGCGCTTCCATTGACTGCTGTCTAGTCATAGCCCCTCTCTGAAGCCTCAGTTTTCTTATCCATAAAATGGGACAACGATCTCTTCTCACTCGACTTCCCTCCTAGGGATGAGGATCAAATGAAATAAGGGATGTGACAGCAATGTTTTGGTGATAACGTATGGAATAAATACGAAGGGTTGCTGTCACCACCATCACCGTGGTCCACCCAGCCTGGGATTCAGTCTAGGATAGAGTCCTGGGTTATTTCCTGATCTCTATTTAATAGTTAGGGATGTTTCTCAAGTTGAATCTTTTCACTTAATCAGAACATTCTGAAAGAACTCACCCCGAAGAGCCAGCGCGCCCCGTACCCCCCGGGAAGGCTGAAGTCAGCAACAGAGAAGGAGACAGAGAGGGCAATGGACAGGAGGGCTTCACTGCTTGGGCCACTGCAGAGGTGTCCTGGGGCAAAGCCCAAAGGTCTAGGTTAACATACACCCATCAGACCTTTCCAAGCATCTCACCACATGCCTAGGGGTCACCGTCTCCTCAGGTGTTTGGCTCAGCTGGGGACTCTCGCACCCAAAGTCCTTTGAAACTCATGGAGTTCTGTCCTCCTCTACCTGACCAATCTGTTCCCCTGGCCTGTGGCAGGGTCTCAGCAAAGGGCTCCCAAATTCCACGTGGAAGACCTTGACTCATGACACGTGGACAGACATGTGTAAGAAAACAGCAGCGTGGAAAGATGTGATAACAGGGTTAGGGCCCAGGATTGGGGCCCAGGGCTGGCCTACCTCTCAGTTCCCTGGGTGACCAGCCTCAGATTCCTCTTATGTAAAAAGAGGCAAAGGATGGAGTCCATTTCCCTCTTCCCTATCCTGATATCAGGAGGAGGACTTCATCTAATTTTTGAAAGAGTCCCTGACCTCCCAACAACATAAGAACTCACCCACGTTTGCCCCACCAGGACCTTCTCCGGTGCTCACACACGAATCCTAGACAGTCCTTAGCACACCTGCCACCTCATGGGTGGTCGAGGTGTAATCAGACACAGAAACGCCTGCTAATGTTTAGCTAGTGCCGCCCCTCCAGGGCTTAGAATACTTTCAGCCTCTTACAAATCACGTGGTTCCAGAAGGGAGGTCAAGGAGGATGGACAATTCTGAGGAGAAAAGCCTTTTCCTGCCCCTGTTCATTCATGGCTTGTGGAAAAGGGTTCTTGTCAAAATTTGGTCTCTATAAGAACCACCTCAAAATGCTAAAAATGTAGATTCCTGGTGTCTGCCAGCAGATACTGGTCCTGTACGTCTGAGTTGGGGCAAGGGGGTCTTGCTTTTTCGAGTCCCAATGAGTCTGCTGTAGTGTCTGTGGACCTCACTTTGAGAAACACTTGGGTATCAGCCTGCCAATGGGGAAGGGCAGCCCAGGGCACCTGGACCCTGCTACAGATGCATGATTTTCTCCCAAGCCTCGGTTTCTCTGCCTGTGTAACATGAGGTGTGGCCCCGCTGCTTCCAGAAGCTTCCTGCGATTTGGGGGTTCAGCACTCAGGCCTGACTCAGGGAGCTTTAGTTTCAAATCTGGGCTCTGTCAACAGGATGGATAAACATTTAGCTAGATTGACCAAGAAATCAGGAATGAAGACTCAAATTACTAAAACCAGAAATGAAAGAGGGGACGTTGCTACCAACTTTACAGAAATAAGAGAGATTATAAGGGAATGATTGTATGATCAATCGTTTGCCAACCAATTAGCTAACCTAGATGAAATGGAAAAATTTCTAGAAAGATATAAAGTACTGAAACTGACTCAAGAAGGAATAGAAAATCTGACTAGACCTATAAGGAGTAAAAAGATTGAATTAATAATAATAATAATAATAATAATAATAATAATAATAATAGTAAAACTTCCCAGGGCCAGATGGTTTCATTGGTAAATTCTACCAAATGTTTAAAGAGTGATGAACACCAATCCTTCACAAACCCTTCCAAAATAACAGAAGAGGAGGGAACACTTTCCAACTCACTCTATGAAGCCAGTATTACTCTGATACCAAACCAGACGAAAACATCACAGAAAGACTACAGACCAATACCCCTTATAAATATAGATGCAAATATCCTCAATAAAATACCAGCAAATCAAATTCACAACATATAAAAGGACTGTACACCATGAATAAGCGGAATGCAAGGTTGGTTTGACATATGAAAATCAATCAACGTAATAGAGCATAATATTGGGCTGTCGGAAAAGTCATGATACATTTTTGCAACGAAAAACATAGAAAAAATACGTCATGACTTTTCCCACAACCTAATAGAATAATGGACGAATCTGGACTCTGCCACTTGTTAGCTGTGTCACCCTGGGCGAATACCTTAGCCCCTCTGAACAAGTTTCTCCATCTAGAGAGGAGGGTTACTGATTTCTTGGCATTGTCATGAGGATCAAATTGCTGCACATAGCAAGTGCTCAATAAAGGGTTATCTAATCCTAACTGCCATCATGTTAAGAGGAGAATCCACTGGGAGGGGCCTAGTTTATCGGTGCAGGTGTTTATTCTCTGGTCACTTTTCAGATGAGGAGACCGGGGTAGGTGGGCTGACATGCTCTGTTCACCTGGACCATAATCACCATCAATATGCCCATTCCTGTCTCCAAGCCTTTGTCCCTACAGTTATCCCTGCCTGGGATGGCCCCTCAACCTCTTAGGCCAGTGCAAATCCTCCCAGGCTCAAATGCCACTCTCACGTGGCCTTTCCTATGCACTCGCCGTTCAACCTCCCTTCTCTAAATGCCCATGGTTGGTATTGGGGACTTAACCACTTTATCCTTGTCTGCTCCTCGACTTCTTTCTAGTAAATGATGTTTGAGAAAGCACTTTGCTTCTCTGAGCCTCAGTTTCCTGATCTGCAGGAGGAGGCCACCTTGCTGCAAGGGAGAAGTGGGGTCTAGGAAGTGACGGGGCCAGGATGGGAAGTCGGGACCATCTGCTTCCAAAGCCCATGAGTTGTAGACAGCAGCCCACACTCACTTTGCCGGGTGGAAGATGGCGCTCATCTCCTCTGCCAGGTGTCTCCGGAGGATGTGCTTCCCGCTGGGGATGCCCAGGGCGGTGGCCATGGCCTCGGCGTTGAACGTGGGTTCCAGTACCAGCACGGCGCCATGGACGCCGCTGTTGATCAGGTTGTCCGCATACTCCTGAGAGCAAGGCACGAGGCTGGTTAGGCTGAGGGGTCACCCTGCTGGCTGAGAGGGCTGCCCTACTGACCTGAGGGGTAGCCCTGCCGGCCCGTGAGGGCCCCAGCTCAAGTGGGGTATACCCCCAACAGCAAGGGCTTGACCCTGTGGGGACAAGTTAACTTAATAGTGAGGGGGAACCCCACCCTCATTCTTTTAGGGCCATGAGGGCAGCGACCAAGACAACTTTGTCAGTGACATATCTTCAGACCTTGGCAGACAGCCCATAGATACTTGTTGAATGAGAAGACAGACCTGGTTTCGACTGCCCACTTGCTTCAGAGAATGAGGGTGGCTCAACCTCCCTCACCCTTACTCTGAGAAAAACATCATTTTTGGGGGTCCTCTTGTGGGGCAGGGGTGAGTAGTTCCCTCCTCTTGAGTGATGGGGGGCAGGTTATTCTTGCCAGCCTGGGCAGCAATGCTCAAACTCACACAAAAATGGATGTTGGTTTGCACACACATGTGCGTGAGATTTGCCTCTGCCTGAGAGTCACCCCCGCACGCGCCATCACCCCTCACCTTCAGGTCAATATCTCGAACCCACTTGAGAACCCGCTGGTTGGTCCAGACCACGGGGTCTATGTTCTGCGTCTCACATCGGGCCCGCCGCTCCTGGAGGGCCTAGTGGGGAGGGAGAGGGTGGTCAGCTGGGGGGGGGGGCGAGGGGGCTTGCTGAGGTCACAGGGAGCACAAGGGTCCATGGTGCTGGCAGGGACCTCAGCATGCTGGTGTGAGGAGGAGTCTGGCCATCTATGGCTGCTCTAGCCACATCCATCGGTCGATCCGTGGCTCAGTCTTTAATTCTGGGAAACAGGGAGACGCCCCCTCCTGGGGGTGGAGGGAGCCTGGAGGCAGAGATGCTGTGTCAGGTGGGGTGGGGCTGGGTGAGACTCACAGCAGCTGCCTCGCTGGTATATCCCAGCCCTTCTCTCACCTGGCACGGAGTGGGTGCTCGATGCTTATTTGCTAAGGGACACCTGACAACGAGGCCCTTCTACGTGGGTCCAAGTCTCCTTGGGGTCCACACAGCCTCTGGACCAGTGACTGTCACCCTGATACAAACCCTCACCCACGGTGACCTGCACAGGCGTCAGCCTGGCACCCTTTCACAAGCCTCCTTGGGGGACTGGCTCAACGACAAAGGGCTCCTGTGTGGACAGACCCTTCTCCAGGTCCCCTGGCCCGCGGGTTCCTCCAGCATCCCCTGACCAGCCCCTAACCTGCCCTGCCCGTGTCCACACTTCACTACCATGACCTTTCTGCCATCTCGCTCCTTCCCCAGACTGGGGCTCCCAGGGGCCAGGGCCTGTGTCCTCCTCGCTTCCTGTGCCCAGGGCCCTGCAGTGGGTGTTTGAGAAGGGCATGCAGAGTTGGTCAGCCTCCTCTTCTGTCGCCTCGTCCCGGCCCTGTGCTCTGACAGACACGCTCTGAGAAAAGCAAAGCATCTGGACTCAGCCCCGCAGGACCCAGCAGCTCAGGGCCGTTCCCTCGGGGAATAGCTGGGGAGATGTGCCAATAGGCCCCGGGGGAGCTGAAGTAGATGCCTTAGGCTCTCTCGCTCGGCAGAGTGCAGAATCAAGGGGGCACTCAGAATCCAAAGTCTAACATGCCCCACAGTCCCCAGCTTACTTATCTGGCACCCTGATTACTCCCCCACCTCAAACCCAACACCGGAACCACACAAGGCTCTCAGTTCTTCTGCTGCCACAGACCTGTCCTCTGAGCCTTTGCCTGTGCTGTTCCCTCTGCTGGGTTGCATTCCTCCTGCTTTCTACTGATCGGTCCTTAGACTTCCTCCTTCAGGGCTCAGTTGAGCTGTCACTATCTCTAGGAAGCCTTCCTTGATCCCCCTGAAAGCTTTTCCTCTGGGTTTTCATAAAACCCTGGGCTTCCTTCGTTTGGACACTTTTCCATGGTTTTGTGGACGCCAGCTTCTTTGTGGTTCTTCCTAACAAGGAGTGAGTTTTTAGAGAATGAGGGTTCCCCGTTTTCCCTGAATTGAGCACAGGGTATGGCCCATGCCCAATAAGCAATTACTGAGAGAAAGGAGGGAGAGAGAAAGAAATGGATGCATGGATGGATGGATGGATTCATGGATGGATGGATGGATGAGTGAGTGGATGCATTGATGGGTGGATGAATGGATAGGTGGATGGATGGATTCATGGATGGACAGATGGATGGATGGATGGATGGATGGATAGGTAGATGGATGGATTCATGGATGGATTCATGGATGGATAGATGGATAGATGGATGGATGATGGATGATGGATGATGGATACATGCATGGATGGATGGACAAATGCATGGATAGATGGATGGATGGACAGATGGGCAGATGGTTGGGTGGACAGACAACAGATGCCAGGGGGAAAGCAGGGCTGTGGAAGATGCCCCCCCCCCCGGTTCTCACCTCCCTGCTGAAGTTCACTTGGTACAGCAGCTCGATCCCCAGCAGGATGCTGACCTGGTGGAACTTCTTGGACACATTCAGGTGTTTCTCCAGGTCCCGCTTCATCAGGGAGTTCAGCATCCGCCCATCGACCAGGTGGCTTTGGAAGGCCTGGGAGTACTGGGACAGGCCGATGTCGTTCAGCCAGGCTTTGGCCACCCAGTGATGGTCCAGGTCGGCAGCTTTGGACAGGCTGGTGAGGAGAGGCAGAGACACAGAAAGCGATGGGTGGGGAAAGGTAGGAGAAACAGGGGTCAGGCAGGAATGGGGCAGAGATGAGCAGAGATGAAGAGAAAAAGGGAAAACAACAGGGCAGGGGGGCCAAGGAGACCACAGAGATAGGAACAGGATGGAGCAGAGAGAGAGAAAGGAAGAGACAGAGCAGAGATGGGGGAGGGGCAGATAAACAGGGGAAGAGGGAGAGAGAGAGACCACATTCAGACACACCGAGAGTGAAAAGGGACAGTGACAGAGCAGTAGGGGCATATGCAGCAGGAAGCAGCACCTCTAGCGACCCTCTGCACCCCTCAGCCTGCCCCAGGGCCTCTACAGAACCCCTGAGCCCCACAAAGCCTTGTCTTGGCCTGTCTCTCCTTGGACTTCACCCAGAGTCACACAGTTGCACGTCTTGGAATCAGAATTAAAATCTACATTTTGTTTATGCCAAGTCCTCTCTCCTCACTGCCCATCTCAGATTTCTCTGTATCCCACACAGAGCTTATCCAGCCACACACATAGAAGGTGCACAATGAATACTTCTCAAATGGATGGAAGAGTGGATGCATCTGGCAAGGCTGGTCCCATCAACTGTCATTCCCTTGCTCGCCACACGGTGGCAGCCTCGCAGAAGGAATGAGGACAGCATCTCCCACCCGCGGGGACTTTGAGACATAACCAGAGGTGCTGCCAGGAAGGGGAGCAACGTTGTCTAAGTGGCAGCCGTGGGGCACCAGGGGGATCATGATATGAAAGGGAAATGATGGGCTTACAGAGTGAGGCCGTCCTCCTTCCCAGGCCTGGGATCAGGGCCAGCATCCTTCCCTTCTCCCCAGGTAGAAGGGCCACCCCCGTACCCCTTCCCAGCTGGGGCCCGTGGAGACTGTGAGAAGGGTGAGAGGCTGGTCCCTGTGCACCATCTCTGGGGGCCACCCTACCAGCCACCCAAGGTGGAGACCTGGGTGGGATTCTCCGCTCCACCTAACTCAGCTGGTTCCTGTTACTCTCCACTGCTCCCCCCCGGGGGCCACTGTCTCGCCCTTGGACTTCGCCCTCTGTCTGCCTGCATCCGTGCCATTTCCAGTTTCTTCTCCAGGACAGAGCTGGCGGATCACGCCACCCTCCTGCTGCTGGTTCTAAACGGTTCTTCCTTGTCCTTTCTTCATTCCAAGAATATGTATTGAGCAAGTACTGAGCGCCATGCTTGGGGTAGATGCTGCCAAGGAAGGAGCACATCTTCCCTCATATCCCCTTCCCTTATTTCTCCATCTTCCTGCTCTCCATCTTTGGGGGACATCCATTCCCAGCGCTCTGGATTATGTCTGTGAATGAAGACTCCTCAATTCACATCTCTCCTCTCTCGCCTCTTCTGAGTCCCAGATTCTAACTCACTGCCCTCGTGACATCTCCTGGCTGCCACAGGCGTCTCACATTTAATGGGCTCCAAATGAAACGCCCCATCGCCTCTCCCAGCAATCCCCCACCTCCATCATTCAGCTCCTGTCCTCACTGGCCCTGCCTCTTCCCTTCCATACCCTGCCCGTCTATCAGTCAGCATTCAAGCCACGGCCACCTCTGGCATAGATTTCTGCACCTGCCTCCTGAGTGCCTCACCCCACCCGCCCCCGTTGCCCATTCTAAGGCGCTTTCCCCATGGCTGCAAGATGGCTTTTTAAAAACATCAGTTAGGTCATGTCACTCCCCTGCTTAAACCCTCTCGTGGAGGAAATGTAAGTGCATATGACTAAGTGAGAGAAGCCAATCTGAAAAGGCTACATACTGTATGATTCCAAGTATGTGACACCCTGGAAAGGCCAAATATGGAGGCGGTAAAAAGATCAGTGGTTGCCAGTGGTTGTGGGAAAGGAGGGATGAATAGACAACACAGAGGATTTTTAGGGCAGTGACACTACTCTGTATGATGCTGAAATGGTGGATACGTGTCATTACACATCTGTCCAAACCTAAAGCACGTACAACACCAAGAGTGAACCCTAATGAGAACTGTGGACTTGGGGTGATGATGACGTGTCAGTGTAGGTTGAATTGTAACACATGTCCCATCTGGTGGGGGATGTGATAATAGGGGAGCTATGCATGTGTGATGGCCGGGGGTACATGGGAAATCTCTGTACCTTCCCTCAATTTGCTCTGAAACTAAAGCTGTTCTAAAAAACAGTCTTTAAAAAACGACGGAGGAAAAAAAAAAGACTTTTTTAACATGCAATGTTGAGAGAATTTATCATCAGTGGAATGAACTGCAAGAAGTATTAAAGGAATTTCTTCAAGAGGAGAGAAAATAACCATGTGGAAATTTAGGCTACATAAAAGAATAAAGATGATAACTTCTAAAACTCAACAACAAAAAGACAAACAACATGATTTAGAAATGGGCAAAGGATTTGAATAGACATTTCTCCAAAGAGGATAGAAGAATGGCCAATAAGCACATGAAAAGATGCTCTACATCAGTAATCATTAGGGAAATGCAAATCAAAACTACAATGAAATACCACTTCACACCCATTAGAATGGCTACTATCAAAAACCCCAGAAAACAAGTGTGGGTGAGGATGTGGAGAAATTGGAGCCCGTGTGCACTGTTTGTGAGAATATAGAATGGTACAGCCCCTGTAGAAACCAGTGTGGAGGTTCCTCAAAAAATTAAAAATTGAGTTACCATATGAGCCAGCAATTCCATTTCTGGTTATACAACCAAAAGAATTGAAAGTAGGGTCTTGAGGAGCGGTTTGTACGCTCAGGTTCATAGCAGCGTTATTCACAACAGCCAAAAGGTGGAAGCAACCCAAGTGTCCATCAGTGGATGAATGGATGAGCAAAATGTGGCCTATACAAACAATGGAATATTATTCAGTCTTAAAAAGGAAGGAAATTCTGCAATATGCTACAGCATGGATGAATCTTGAAGACAACACATAATGGAGCAAATGCTCCAACGTCTGATGGAGCATTGTGTATATGAAAACAATAGGACAGAGGCAGGAGAAGAAACCATCTTATACTGTACACAAAGTTGTATAATATTATTTAAAGGTAGACTGTGGTAAGGTAAGTATGTATTTTGGCACCCTAGAGCTATAATGAAAAAGAAGTATATAGTTCATAACCAGTAATGGGAACATTCAACTAACAAAAATAAGTCAGTAAAAGAGGGAAAAAACCCCAAAGAGTAGATTAAAAAGAAAAAGATAAAACAAGCAAACTGTCCTGTGGCTCCCCTTTGTAGGACAAAATCGGAAGTCCTTGGAGGGACCTGACAAGCAAGGTCCGCTGTCCCCGTCCCGTGCTGGGCTCAGGCTCGGGGCACTTCTGGGATGCACTGAGCTCTCTGCCCCTTGGGCTGTGGGGCTCCCCCACACCTGGCCTCTCCCTGTACCCGTTTCCTTGCAGCCTTTTCTGAGGCTCACTCTTCATCCCAGGTCTTGCTGTGACTGTGCTGTCTACAGTTGCTCCCCCAGCCTGAGTCCTCTGCCGCTAAGGATTTCCTTGGAAGCACTAATCACACGTGGTACTTGAAAATTAATTGATCCGAGCATGGGGGCTCTGTTCTCTGCTAGGCGGCCAGCCTGGTGCTTGATGCATAGCAGACATGTCGTTGGAAGAATGACTATGGGAAGGAAGGGTGGGCTCCCAGCTGTGCTCTCCCTCCTCCCATCCCTCAGCCACCCAGAACCACTGGGTCTGTCCCCAGAGGCCAGGGCCTCTTCTGCTCCCAGCCTCCAGGCCTGTTCTCCAGCCCACCGTCTTCACCGGCTTAACTCCTACTGGACTCTGCTGAGATGCTGCTCAGCTGGAGCCTTCCAGGCCCCTTGTGCGGGGTCAGGACCCTCTCCGTGCCCAGGGGCTCCCGGGAGTCCCATCCCTGCACCTGTCACCCTGGATAATTGCTGCTCATCTGGCCAGCTCCTGGAGGACCAGGTGTGGCATATCTACGAACGCTCCGGGGCCCCACCTGGCTCAGAATCAATGCTCAGCACCTTCTGTTTTATAATCCAAAACATGGAAGACAGAGTAAAGCTGGGTGAGTGGGGCATTGGCTCTGGTCCACCAAGGGGCTGCCCAGGACGGAGGTCCTCAACTGGAACCTTCTGGTCCAAGACAACAAGCTCCCTTCTAGGATGAAAATGTCCTGGGGAGACCCCCTCCCAGACCCTCTAAAGGCCAGCTCCAGCCTTATCACTTCAGAGGGACCCTTCCCAGGCCCAGCCCTCCTTGCCATCTCTCCGGGGCAGGAGTCAGAGCTCATAGCTCTCTGAATCAGATGCCACTGGGCCAGGGTTGTCATTGCTGGTGACCAGAACCTCCTCTCCTGTCTGAAGAAGGCTTTGCTCAGTAAATCAAGATGTGGGTGGAGAGGTGGGAGGGGGCACCTTGCTCAGCCTACTTGAGAGAGTCCCATTTATAATCAGCAATATCCATCTGCATGCTGACAATTAATGCACTCCTGCCCTTCAAAACGGCCCTCTTTTCATTAAAGTTGTCCTCATGGGGCCTCAGCTTGGCAACGCTTTCCCAGCTGTTGGCCTGAGCTATAGCGAGCACCCAAGTTGAATAAAATGGCATGACCTTCAAAGTAATTTAGACGTTTTATAAAATTTGACAGTGACCCCTCCCCAAACTGGGGTAGATGAGACCCTGAGATCTGAGTTTGAGCCTAGATTTAGGTATTTTTGTAGGTCATTATTCAATACAGAAAACACGGGCCGTGCTGGCTCTGAGACCTTGTCCCTTCGTGCCCCAGTTTCTTCATCTGTAAAATGGGCCTAATCGGGCTGGCCAAGTGGCACGATGGTTAAGAACTGGCTTGGGACGCCAGAGGACCCCGGTTTGGATCCCACATATGAGGGCCAGTGACACTGCCCTTCACAGCTAAGATGCTGAACAACAGCTCAACCTGGAGCTGGGCTGCCGTGAGTCGCTGGCGACGGCGTAATAGGCTGCAACCCCTGCAGCTGTGGGTTGCCATGGGCTACCGTGTGTAGCCAGCAGCCAGCGTGAGCGGCCAGCAGCCGCAGTGAGCGGCCGTCCAGAAGCCGGCGACTGATCTGCCTCGCCCGGGAAGAGTGCAATGATGGTGCCAAATTGGGCCAGTGAAGCAATGTCCTCCACAACTAGACTGAAGAACAAAAGGACAGCAACTTGTCTGTTTCCCTTCCCCCAATTCCCCAGCACTGTTCCCTTCCCCCCAATTCCCCAATAAAAATCTTAAAAAAAATAAAAATAAAAATAAAAAGGTTAAAAAAAAATAGGCCTAGTCACGCTGGCCTCCTGGAGTTGTGAGGACTAAGAGAAGGGAAACCCTTAGCACTGGGGCTGGGATGCATTGAGTGTTCCATAAATAATATTGGGTTGTCGGAAAAGTCATGAGGTATTTTTTTCTATGTTTTTCGTTGCAAAAATGCGCCATGACTTTTCCAACAACCCAATGGTATTCTTTTGCTGTTGCTATTGTTTTTAACACTAAGGCGACGTGGGTTAGTGGAAAGGGAATTGACTTCGAAGTCAGGTATTTTGTAGTGCGACTTTGTGCGCATGGCTTTTCTGGGCCTCACTTCTTCCATCTTTAAAATGGGGCTAAGAATGTCTATCCTGCATCGATGTTGTGATGGTCAAATAAAATCGTATCCGTAAAGTGACGGGTGACGGTTCGGCAAGGGTTGTTCGGCGGATTGTAGAGATAAGGGAGCCTGGCCCAGAGCGGGCAATGTCATGCCCACAGCCACACAGGATGTGTTCTTGATGATGACCTCACTGGGGTTCTGTGGGCGGGTCAGAGGGTCCCTGAATGCAGAGTTGTGAAGTTTTGTATATTTCCTCTGGGGAAACTGTCAGAAGCTTTTATTAGATTCCCAAAGGGGTCATGATCCCCAAAAGTTATAGAACCACTGTCCTAATTTACCCCCCTTCACTTCCTAGGTGGAGAAACTGAGTCCCAGAGAGGGCAAGGTCACATGGCAGGTTAGACAGGCAGGTTAGGCCTGATCTCCACAGGGAATGGAGCCCTCAAATGCAGGCCTCCCCCGCTTCAGGAAGCCCTGTGGGTTTCCAGTACTGGGCACATGATCCTTTGAAGCAGTCTTGCTTACAGTTCTCTTAATTTTTCAAAATCTGTTCACACCTGGCTGCTGATTTGAACCCACCGCATAGAATCTTGGCTCCTGGAGGTTCTTGGGGTCAGTCACGTTTTAGGCGAACTTGGTCAGAGATCCCACTTTTTTGAGAGGTGAAGCAGGCAGCCCCACCCTGTTTAACGAACACAGGCATTTCCTTACCGCATTGGGAGTGGGACCAGGGGGCGAGAGGGGGTTCCAGCTTCAGTGACTGAGGATGGTAAGCACTTTTGGGGAGTCCGAGGAAGGCACTGGTTAGGAGTGGGTGGTGAGTACGAGGTGCTGTGGGGCCCTCAGGAGGGGACTCTCAGCAGGGTGCCGCCCCCTCCCCCTGCTGCCATCACCCCACTTCTTCACCCCTCACTTCCAGCCCTGTCCTCTAGGACCAGCAGGATCCTGACTCTCGGACAAGGCCCCGCACCTTCTTGCTTTGCTCTTTCAGTTGCTACCTGAGTTTCCGATCCGATCACTTCTCACTACTTCCTGCCACCTCGGAATGACGCCAAGGGCCCGGCCTCTCCAGGACGCATGTGGAGTTGGTTCTCCTGTTTCCTAACCAGCTGGATTTCCCATCCCCAGCCCCCTCTTTATTTTAATCCACAAAGCTGCTTCTGCAAATAATAGCACACACCACCAGGTTTGATTAATTAACTACACAAAAATGATGGGGAAACCAGCGAAGGAGATAATTATGCAAAACAAGTGTCAGATTCACCAGCTTGTGCCTTCTTCCCCCTCTGCACTCTGAGCACAGGGGAGAGGGGTCCTTCCCTTCCCCCTGGAGCTGCTGGGTGAGTGACGGGACCCCAAGTCCTGCTCACACAAGGTGGGCAGAGAGGCAGGCAGGAGGTAGGCTGGGGTGAAGGGTGGTGTGAGCAAAGGGGGCAGAGTGGCCTCAAGGGGGACACACCTGATGGCAGGGACCCTTTTCCGTTCCCTGGTGTGCTTGCTAACAGGAGCCCCCTCCTACCCTCTCTGATTGTGTCCATTTTTGCGTCTCTGTCCCATTCTGCTTCTCCCTGCCCTCTGCTATCTTTCCTCACCCCGGGATGGTGACTTTGAATGGGGTTTGAGGTACACGTAGGCAGAGCAGATATTTTGGCCAAATTCCTAGATCCACTCGGGCTGGTCTACTCTCAGAGATAGAGGAGTTCTGGGGGCATATGAGGCCCCCCCAATTCCCACACTGGGGGGATCACAGGGCATTTGGGGCCTCACTTATTCCCTGTTCTCCATTTTCCCATGGGAGGGCTGGCCCAGGGTGGGACTGGGGTGTGCCTGGTTCTCCTGGCCAGTGGCACCCGGAACTGTGTTGGTCACACCACATCATTCCTCACACCCGGCCCAGAGAACAGCACCTGTTCTCCCCACCTGTGTGGCAGAGTTCCTGGGAGGACTTTTCTCCCTCTCCTGGGGGGCCCAGCCCGGTGGGGTGCTGAGGAGCGCTGCTCACCTCCTGCCCGCCTCAGCGTCGCGGTAGTCCTCGATGGCCAGCCGAAGCTTGCGCCGGTGCAGGGAGCTGCACACGCCCAGGCCCAGCTCCAGGTCCTCATCACTGAGACTCAGCAGCACCTGCTCCCCGGGAAGGTGGGGACTGAGCACCCGGATGGGAGGTTCAGGGGTGGGCACCTAAGGCCTCCAGGTTTGCTGTGGGGGCAGGGGCGAGCCACAGAGTGGGCTGCCGGCGGGGGCTGCCTCTTCCCGTCTCCCTGCCCACATGCCACGCAGTCAGAGCAGAGCACTTAGGGCATCTCTGCAGCCCACCTGGGGCTGGGGCCGGGGCCCCAGGAGGTGAGTGCATCACCATCCTGGCCAAAAGAGCACTCTAGCCGAGTCCTGCCAGGTAAAGAAGGGCTAGTCCCATTTTAAAGATGAGAACGCTGAGGCTCAGAAGGGCTATGGTACCCTACTGGGGAGACACGGTGATTTACTGGGGACTCTGGAGCCTGACCCCAGGTCAGAGGGCTCCTAGGTTATATCTCCTCCTACCCTGAGAGTGGGGGTGGGGTGGGCAGGCCAGCTTGGGGCTGGTAGAGCTCATGGGGGTCGAGGGGGGCTTTCCCACTGGGGTGCTGGGGGTGCCCTACCTTCCCGCTCTTCACGTTCTCTGCACAGGCCTTGACGTACATGGGCATGGCCATGACCACTTCCAGCCAGGCCTGCACGGTGCCGGCCTTCCAGTGGGACATGGGGGTGGTCCTGACCAGCTCCACCTGCTGCAGCCGGTCCACCTGCTCCTCGCCCTCTGACAGGCTGAGGCTCTGCCTCGTGGGGCTGCACTGGCTGTCCGAGTCTGCAACACACAAGTGCATAGCGCCATGCTGGGGAGGGGGTGAGGGCAGGCTGCACCCCCTGAGTCTGCACTTCTGGGGTGCAGGAGGAGGGCAGGGATGTGGTTGCCCCATGCATTTCTTTTCAAAATCAAAATCGCTTTTGTTTTTTTTGCCACCCCTCCCCCACTACAAAAGTAATCTATGCCCCCCCCCGCCCCGTCCCGACAAAGTAAAGAATTTAAAAAACTTAATCCAGAAAGCAATAAAAATAAAACAAAGTGAAAATCACCCACCAATCCCACACACTCAAGAGACAGCAGCTGTTAGTATTTAGCTAAATATTCTTTGGGATACACAAATGCCCACGCTACAAACACACACAGGCCCACGCACTACACCATGTGTTCCGTTTTGTAACATGCTCTTCTCGTGTGCACTATGGACGGCAACCTTCCCTCTCAGCGGAGACCTGTGATATCTTTCGACTGCACGGGACTCCTCGAATGGATGTTCCGTAATTTATTTCACCTGCCTCCTAGTTGATGGGCAAGGGTGGGTCCCCATTTTTCACTATTGCAGACAATGCAGCGGCAGTCATCTTTAGGCAGCTGGGTGATTTATTTTCTTAGGATAAATGGAGCCCCAGCTCCGTTCCTTAACACACCGAAACCCGTTCCTGGAGTGGTTGTCACAGACACAAAAGTCTATCCACCAGCATTTCCCAACCCTCTTCTTCAATCCAGGGTCGGCTGCATTAATATCTGACAAACGTGCCATGTTCAGGTAGCACAGACTCGACCGAGGGGGGGGAAAGAATCTCTTTGTCTAAAGCAGGGCTAAATAATAAATACCCAACAGACAAACTCAATACCATGAGAAATGACAAGTATTAAAAAAACAAGCCCGATCAGAAAGGATACTACCAATATTGTATATTATAAATCATAACGACGGAAAAAATCCTTATCCGTCAAATCGAGCACCTAGTTAAAACATGGGAACTAAGTACACACAGGTGTTAACAAGTTACTGAGTGGAAGAACGCGGCTATGTCCCTCTTGCTATATGCCTTTGCGTCTTATCAAAGTTCCGTCATAAACATGTACACATTTATAATAACAATTGGAAACATTAAAAAATAGGAAGCCATAGATAAATGGTGATTGATGGGGGTTTATCTGAATGAATGCCGCTCCATTCGCATGTTGGGATGTATATGGTTAAGGGATCTGTCACAGAATATTTTTGACATTAGAAAATGGTCACGATCTATTGCCAAGTGAAAAAGCACAGTACATGACAGCAGGTACAATGTAATCCTAATCATATTAAAGAAATTATATATATAATGATATATATTATATACAATTATAATTGTGTATATACACACACACACATTTATATATATATATAAAATACTAGATGGCTAAATGTTAAAAGCCTTTATAATGGAAAGGGGTGGTGGGTAATTTTGTGTGAATGAGAGTGTGTGTGTGTGTGTGTGTGTGTGTGTGTGTGTGTGTGAATGTTTGAGAGTATTTGTGTCTGCATAGTTTTTTGTTTCCCTAGTTTTCTGCATAGGCTATATTACTTTTGAAATTGAAAAAAAAAACAAACCCACAGCCCGGAAATCTTCTTAAGTTATAAATTCCTCCCCCCATTCCTCTACCTCCCTCTGTTTAAACTCCTTGAGCAACTCTTTGGAAAAGGCAGCATCAGCTTGGTGAGCACCGCCTTCTCCCTCATCCCAGCTCTGCCAAAACCTCCCTCCACAATGCCTGGGGGCCTCTAACAGCCCAGCCAAGAGTCCTTCGGAGCCCACAACCACCTGGCCTGGAAGATGCCACCCATGGTCCAGCAAGGCGCTGGGCAGAGCTGCTTAACTCTGGAATGGTAGGCATGACGCCTTGTGTCTCAGTTTCCACCTCTGTAAAGCTGGCATGATGCTGTGCTCTGCCTGCCTCCTGCCTCCTCTCCGGAGTTGCTCTGGGGACTCAGTGACAGTGTATGTCACTGAGTAACAGTGGGTGACAGATGGGGCTTGGCTATGCTAGGACAGGTAGGGGGTGAGAGGTTATCGGAACATTATCATATTCCCCTTCTCAGGTGGATAAGTGGAGAAGTGGCAGATGGGCACAGAGCTCCGTGCAGGTCACCAGTTTCTGCACACGTGTTGCCTTGGCGCCCGGGAATGTGGAAGCAGCAGTTGACTCTGCAGCCTCACCTGGGGCTCCAAGTTCTTCCTGGTGAGAGAACTGCCTGGCTAAGGGGGCACAGGCTCAGCCTAGGTGTCCCTTCCTGCTGGTTCTGGGCTCAGGAGGACAGACTTGGCTTGCAGAGAAGTCTTTCTGATGGGGGTCCTACAGGCGTTGACCACTGGCACACAAACAGGGAGTTCTCCTTGGGTTGGAGAGAGCTGAGAGCCTCTGGTTTCTGTAGCTGAGTCCTCTGTTACATGCTTCTGGGAAGATGATGTGTGGCTGACTCTGGTTACCCCAAATTCCAACACACAGCTCCTGGTGTCCATTTGGACCAGGCCTATGGGAAGAGACCATGCTTTGGAGTTGAACAGGCCTTGGCTTGGGCAAATTTCTTTACTGCTTGAAGCCTCAGTTTTCCCATCTATAAAATGGGTATAATAATATCTACCTCCTAGGTTTATATGACAATTATAAGCTCTGAATGTGAAGCCATAGTAGGCGCTCGGTCAAGCGTGGTTGTTATTAGTAATAAAGGGTGCCTCCCCTGGGACTTAGCTACTCTTGGCTACACCTAGAATTCAGCTGTAGTTGCCTCAATCCCACGGTCTTTCTGGGATGAAATGTGGCTTGAGTTTAGCTCAGGTGCTTAGGGAGAGAACCCAGTCCCGCTTGTCAAGCCCACCTGGGTAGAAATTCATTTTTCCAGCTCTCAACTCCGGCCTGGTTCAGGTAGTACAGGCGGGGCTGTCTGTGAGGTGAGGGGTGAATTTGTGTGTTCTATGCCCAGGTGGGCGGTGGGGGTGTGTTTGTAGTGTTTGGCTATGTGTCCCCAAATAAGGGAGAGGAAAGGGGGGAGACTGGAAAAGATGGGCAGCAGGAGTCAGAGAGACAGACAGATGAAGTGGGAGAGAG